ATTAGTGAGTGTATTGACTAAGGGTAATGTGAATATGAATAATGTCTGAGGAGAATCAATCCTTGAAATATTTGTGTTCCTTATTTGGAATTGTCATTTCCTTATTAGGGGGCACACACCCTGTTCAGTACTGTCAAATTATAATGTGTGATAACTTATAAAGATATATTGACAGATTTATAATAATATATTTAATATGTTCATGTAATTTGTAAAGCTTCTTTATCACTTTGTTATGTTCTTGTTAAGCTTCTTTATCACTTTGTTATGTACAAAATTGTTTTATTTCCAGATCTGATTCCACCGATGTAGAGTCACAAGAATTACAAATGTTGACAACAATGAATAGAACACGTGTCTGTAAGGGAACGGATATATCAGAGTTGAACACTACTCCAGGGTGTGCTGCACAGTTACCGACCCTAAAAGGAGACAAACAACATATAGTTCTATTCCGGGTATGTGACTTGGTTTTATTCATCACAAAGACTGTAATTTTTTACATTTCATTGTGTATGAATTGTATAAAATGTTCAACGCTGGATCCCTCAATCTCTCACAAACATACTGTATTTACTCTATTTGCGTGCATGTATGGTCAAATTAAGTTAGTCACATTTTATTGAAACCAGTTTGCAGCCAATGCATTTTTTTGGGTTCATGTGCACTTAGAGATGGGCTTAGATCAACTAATATGCTATCCAAATAATAATTTGGTATCAGAGGACTGTAAACTTTATTTCTGTAAATGAATTTATTTTGCAAAAGATATATTTTAGTAGGGTAGGGGAGCATTTTGTTGCATTGGAAATATTGATGTTTTTTTTTTTGTCACTTTTAATAAATCATACAAATTTCTGGCAATATTTGCAGCATTTTTAGGTTAACAAAATTCATGTTACCTATTACTGACATTATATTCTAGGAATATTTGTTGTAATGTTTACTATTCAGTACATTGTTTGGTTCATAAACAATAAAGTTTATTATGTTTGATAGAATCTGATTACCCGTCTATGTGTATTTCTTATCAATTTATCCACATGCATTTACAATACAATACAATAATTTTTTTTTGGCAGCCTCACCTACGTGATGGTGACTCACCCAGACCGTGGCCAGATACCTATAGGGATCACTGGGATCCAGATCATGTTAAAATGCCTTGTTCCAAAGAAAATCTGTATCCTGTAGATGATGGGGTAAGAACAATTTTTTTTATTTTTTTTTTTGCATCAAACCTTACAGTTCTAATCTGCGCTAACGCAGCATACCGCAACAGGGGCTAACATTCTATGTTCTATCCGTACATTTCACAGAGTGGTCAAAAGAAACTGAGGGGTAGATGGGAACTCATACAAGAGACTCTTCTTGGAGAAATAAAAAGTTCTCTTGACTTAGAAGTAAGTTTACATCTTTATACCCTTGCTTTGCTGCGTGGCTGATATACTTAGTATTCAATGTATAATATTGCAATGCCACGTCATACATATCTATTTAATTCTCCTCTGGATACAAACTAAATGGCAGTACTACCACAGTGATTTGATTTATCATCCTATTGATCTGATGCTGCCACAATCATCTTGACATGAATATTACTGGGAAAAAGTTCTCTGTACCCCGCCCCTAATCTTAACTCTAGCTCTCACCCCAAGCCCTCCAATTCAATTGTATATACCCCTCTAGATAACTATAGGTGTCTTTAGGAGGGGCATATGTAATTAAATTGGCGAGCTTTGGAAGGTAGGGTTAGGTTTGGGGGTATAAAATGAACTCTTTGCCAAAATGTTATGCATATCAGTATGCGAATTGTTACCAATACAGTGGTTAAAATTTCTGTGAAGGACACTGGGATGAGACACCAGTGTATATAACAGATAAGGAAACACCAGTCAATACAATTAGTGTAAATTTACATCATTGAACAAGATTTTGTATGTTATCAAAATAATAATATGCTTTCAAGCCAAACCCTTGCACAGGATGACTATATTTGATTTTGTATTAAATTTGTTTACACCGTAAATATAATGTGGGGAGGGATTGATGTGAACTAAGTAAGAGACACCTAGGAAAGTGCAATTAATTCTGTTCCAATACTCCAAAAAACAAAATTCCAACAAAAATCTTTCCGAAGGCATGAAGGCAGTTTTAATTGTTCATTGTCTAAAAAACCATGTGGTACTGCAGGAGCACCGAACAGCGCCCCCATTTGTTTGGAAATTACAAATTGTTTTGTTTTATTAGTTTCGTTTTTGAATATAATTTTTCTTAATATTTGTATCACTTATTCTTAGTGTAAAATAAAATTAAAAATGTGCAAAGCAATGATGGGTCACCAAATATTTCTGTAGAAATCCATTTTAAAATTACCCTAATAGCGTTAATTTAAATATTGAATTAATTAATGAGATGAATCAGTAACTTGAATAAAAATACTGGTTTGTTGGAATTATATCAAAATATGTTATGAATATTTACAATACTTATTTAATAAAACCTCATTGTACAGATAATAGAGATGAAAAAAGTGGTATCACTACTTTTTCACTCTCATGATATCTTTCTCTCTATCTTCTACAGGAAGCCATATTGAAATACAACAGTCGTTATTCCAATAGATGGGACTTCAGAGGCTTACATGGCTATTTTACTGAAGTGATTGATGCTACAGAAGCTATTCATTTTTTTAACAAGACTTTACCAGATCTGGTTAGACTAGCTTTGCAATTGCCAAATATTTGTACACAGGTAAGTGGACAAATACATTAATTATGTGAATGTGAGTTGAGCATCAAATTATATAACATACAACATCTAAAATCTGTAATGTGATTCGCTTCTAAATTAATTCATAGTTAAGGTTTATATTACAATATACTGTCTCGGTAGCAAATGTATTTTCCTGTACTTTTTTTTATATTCTTCAATATTTCTGGAAATGAATCCTAATTTTAAAACCAAACAATTTTCAATGTTTACTCAATCTTCTGAAGATTGTCCCAATCTTCTGAAAAAAAGTGCAGACTATAAACAGGACTATTTTATGAAGTTGTGTTGAAAAGAAGGAACTGGTGGTGAAAGGGTCAAGGGGTTATACAAAGTCTGCGAAATGTTGACCCACAATTATGTTGTTAGAGGTTTTTTTTGTTTTTTTAAAATAGTTTTGTACCAAGTGACACTTAAAGTCACTACTTTCTCATTTTACTTGTTTTTGTGTGTCTGGTAGTAATTGCAATAGCTTGAGTGCAAACCAGTCTCCCTAACCTTAATACTGCATGTGTTAGATTGCAGGGCAGACTGTACTAAGATTTATACTGCTGAGTGATCAGTTGACTTTGCAGAATCAAACCCACAACCTCCTTGATGTGAGCTGAACACATTCACCACTGTACCATCGTCCAGCTCTTTCATTCAAAGGCTTACTGTAAAATACTTAATTTTTCGCTATTTTTGCTGATGGGATATTCAGTGAAAATAGAATTTTTTGCTATTATTTATAATTCAACTCATTAAAAATCGGTAAAATTAAACTCCATACAAAACACCCACAAAGTTTTATCAGTGAAATTTAATTCCAGCTAAGATAAAGAATTTCACAGTAACTAATTTATGTGACAAAAATAAACAAATCAAACTCTACAAAGCTTCCACACTAAGATTGTCAAGAGCTCCGCACATTGTTGTCAAAACCAGTCAATAACTAACTATTGTTGATTGTAGGCACTTCCTTTACTGAAGAAACAAGAGAACATGAGTATAACAATGTCGCAACAACAGATAGCGTGTTTGCTCGCCAACGCATTCTTTTGTACATTTCCAAGACGTAATGCAAAACAGAGGCAATCAGAGTATGCCAGTTACCCAGATATTAATTTTGTACAGTAGGTATAATTACTATATATACATGTTGTTTTTATGATCACTATTACAGTTTGTGCTTATAAATATTGCATCACTGTCTGTAGGTAAGATGGACTACAATAGGTCACTGTCATGACCTCTAAAGGTCACACATCCTGGTACTTTTGTTGGTATAAAAATCAAAAATGAGTTTATTTTCTTGATATTTTGGCATCATTTCTCTAGACTTGATTCTTTTTTTCAGCTGCTTGATTAAAATGTTTATGTTAGAAACAAAAAGACACATTAAAATACCTAAATTGTGTATGTTTGCTGTCATGGCGACAAAAGTACCAGTATGTGTAACACCATGTGTTACATGAAACCAGTGATGAATTTTGAAGTAGTGTAACAGTGGTTCATTTATTGGTGTTAATAAACTGGATTGTAGTTTTCTGACTTTTACTGATTTCTGTCAACTGGCTTCAAAGAAAGTCATGCACATGCACAAGTAAAATAAGAATTTGGATGAAAATCATACTTAAAAAAAACTATAGTATTCAAGGTTCTTATGGATTCTTAAAAAGTTTAAAAATTTCTTATTTTTACATTTTTATGGCCTTAAAAAGGGTCTTACAATGCAGAAGTTTCAAAAACATCACCACAGAGCGTGAATTTTTCTTATCATTTTTAAAGCAAAAATAGCTCTTGAATTTTCAAAACTATGGTTTGGAAAAGTCTGAAATTCTGTATGCTGAAATCTGTAGAAATTCTGTTATTTTTTGTACAAGTCTATAGAGAATGGATTAGAGCTTCATGTCATTTCTTCGATTTACAAGTATGCAAATGTTTGTAAAATGGGTTATCAGTTTATCACTGTTTATCAGTCGCCCAACAATTCTGGGCACGAATACAAAATCATGTTTGTTTTATCTGTGTGGTTTCTTTTATACTCCAAAATTAATCCGATTATTACTCATAGTTATTCCAACCGTGCACCAATCTGATTAAAGTTAGATTTGTTGATTTTTTGGTGTGTGATTTATTTTGTTTTTTCTCCAATTATTTTCCTACTTTTATTGCTTTACAATCATCTGATGGCAGTCAGAAAATTAAAAAAAAGAATTAAGAAAATAAATTTTAGCACATCTGTCTTTAGTGCCGAGACATTTACTGTGATCATGAGTTGAAATTTGGTATTTCATGTTTGCATGTACAATTTATTGACAATGATATTATTTGATGTTTTTTCTCAGTTTCTTGTCCCTTCTGTACTCTGTATGGTTACATCCTATTTCCTGAAATGTATTTTGTCCATATTTTAATGACACAGAGGTATATTGCATTTGTTTGATTGAGTCATCTATTTATTTATAGGTTATTCAAAGGAGGAAGAAGTGGCGTTGAACCGAGAAAAGCTGAAAAATTGAAATGTATTATGAATTATTTTCAAAGAATAACAACTGAGAGTAAGATTAAATTATTATTGAATTATTAGTTTATTTCTCAAATATTTTACTTCAATTTAACGAGAGAAAATTTGTTATGGGTTTAAGAAATCGCAAAATATTGTAGCAATGGAAATGTAATAGACCATTTTTCGTTGACTGCGAGATCCCGCGTTATACGTGAATTCAAACAAAAAAAACAGGACAAACAAAGGTCATAGTGTTGAAGTGGCTCCCAAACATCGCGTGGGGTTCATCAAACGCAGAAATATTGTTGGGTATTTCCACACTCAATAATGTGCTATACACATTGGATGATAATTAATTTTGATGAAGTAATGGTATTTCAACGCAATATTTCCTTCTTAAGGATCGCCATTGCGACATTGAGCTATAAAAAAAGAAACGTAAATTCAAAATCAAATCGTTCAATCTTCGTGACAGACCGGTCCACGCCTTTCACGTAACATGCAAGATTTCAAGGTGAATGAAAAATCACCTATGGGCTTGAGTCAAAGAAACTTTCATGCCACGATGTTGTCCATAATCAGAGATGTAATGTAATTAGTATTGTCTGTGTTATGAACCTCAAACAAGTCCCACTAAAAATATAAAATATAATTGCATGCTATTGTTCACAGTGAATAAACTCAGATCATATCTGAACTTTCTATGCCAGTGTTTCTCATATTAAATGGTCTTGTCATATGAAATGTGCTGATAATCAATGCTTTACTAATTTAATTTGTTGACAGTGCCCACAGGGACAGTAACTTTCTCACGGAGAGTTTTACATGATTTGCCACGGTGGGATAAATGTTCTGAAGAATTACCACGGATACATACTACTTCATGCGGTACAATAGAAGATGATGGACTTGGCATGTTACAGGTATGTCCAGATTTTCCAGACTTATTTCAACCTCATGTTGTTTTTATCAAAATTGTGTGAAGATTAATGATTAATATGTCGATATGAGGGAGATTGCAGGTTTGACTTGTGTAGATCGTCTACACACTCAGCAGTGAAAACAGTGTACATTCTGCCTGTTAGTCAGGCTCTTAGCATCTGTAGTTAGGAGGAAGGCTTCCAGTTGGAGTTGATGCAAAGTTGCTGGTGTAGTATGTTGTTAATGTCTTTGGAGTACATGAAAAGTGTCAAAGAAGCTGCGACTTTTTTACCAGTTGCAGATTATCAGAAGATGACTGGAATAGATTTTGAATTGGTTAACTGTTGGCAGATCATGTGACATCTTTCATGACTATTGTAAGTGACATTTATAATGTGTTTATTGGCTAACCATGTGTCATCCACAGCCTATAGGAATGCCCCTTCCAACATGGAGTTGACTGTGTTTGAAACATTAGTATATATAAGGCTTACTTTTGTTTTTACAGGTTGATTTTGCCAACAAGTACATTGGAGGTGGTGTATTGGGATGGGGGTGTGTCCAGGAAGAAATTCGGTTTATGATCTGTCCAGAAATGATTATATCCAGGTTATTTACTGAGTCTCTAGATAATAATGAATGTTTAGTCATGACAGGTGAGAGCAAGTATTATCATCATTCCACATGTATGATTGTGTAAATTTTAATATACAGGCATGGACATTTTTTTTTTTTTAATTTTTGTTGTTCCATTTGACAGTTCTAGAATGATACTAATAGTCTCTTCTGACTTTTTTTATTGTGTGTGCAAATTACCAGTATAAGTATGAGTGCTGAGACTACCGGTATATGAGATGGCTGGGCAGCCATCTTTGTATCATAATGCATACATACAGTGTATTTTACTACAAAAACCATATTCCATTTTAAGGCTACATGCAGGCTATGTGACCATCTTCCTATCACAATGGCATTTTGGCAATTTAATGCACTACCCGAGTGTCAACCAGGCTTGGCCTGGTATGTTCAATTTTGAGAAATGCTTAATTTTTAAGATTATTACTTCTTGTATTTCTTATGACATCTCCATTTGTTTATATCATAGGTTGTGAGAGATACAGTAACTACACAGGATATGGGGATTCCTTTTTATGGGATGGTAACTTTAAAGACAACACAACAAGGTATGTCAAGTCATAATATTTTAATAGAATACGTTATATTTAGATACCTAGATATTCTTGGGAGCAAACATCCAGGCATTTTCACAAACAGTGAAAAAACAACAGTTGAAAACTTAAAAAAAA